CTTGCTTTCAAATTAAACCTTGGTAATAATCTTTTTGAGTTAAGTCTCTGATTACCAAGTATTATATTGGTTAATTATGTTTAGTGGAGTGAGAATGTTTCATAGGAAGTCTTAAAGGTCTTGAGTATACAGCTTGACTTTACTAGGAAGGACCTAGGAGATCCTAAAGTTCTCAAGTGTAGAACTTGTCTCCGCCATAATGGACCAAGAATAATGATCTATAAGTGTACCCTAAACTAGTGTAAGGGGTCGTGGTCTTACTCTGTGTAAGGCTAGAAAGTCCTAAATGTCTTAAGCATAGAGCTTGACTCATCTAGGAAGAACCTAGGAGACCACCCATAGGCGAAGAGGATACTTAGTCTGAGATAGAGGTATGGTGGACCTTGTTTTGTGTAAGATTGGAAGTCCTAGTCTGAACGTAGAGCTTACTCTGCTAGGTGAAATCGAGAAGGCATGAACATAAACATAACGAATAAATGAGTATGAATTCATATATATTCATATTATATTATTTTATTGAAATAATGCTGCTTTATTTCTTGTTTATAATTTTGCTTACTAATTGATATTTGGATTATATTTGAGTTGCACATATGTCTCACTCCATTACCTTTGTACACAGGTAAAAAGAGTACAAGAAGGCTGAGAGAGGAAGCGAGGAAAAAGTAGCTTCGATTGGTAGTGGTATGACTACTATTGTGTAAATGAATGTATAATAAGTTGTTATAGTTGAGTTACCAACTAGGATGTATAAGTGTATGTGAAATGAATATGTGAATGTGCATATAATTGTGGTTGAAAACTTACTTTTATATATATATATATATATATATGATATTGCATCTCGCTAAAGGTACCATAGTAATAGGTACGTGAGTAGGCCTAGATGCCAAATAAGCAAGTATATGCTATTATGTAACTTATACCACTCGTATTGAATGTGAATTGAATGTGATATTATATGTGTATGTGTGAACTTGACACAAATGATGAGGCTAAGCCCCATTTAGAAGTGTTGAGTATATTTGTGATTTTAAATCGTATGGTAAGGCGTAGCTCCATATGAGAAAGTCAGTTGGTTGAAGCAGAACAAGCATATATGTGTATATAGATATATGTGTTGTGCCTTGTATAAATCCACAAGTGTGTAATGTGGCATTGAGAGGTCAAATTGAGTAATTGATGTGATATATGTAATTTGATGCATTAATCAGGTATATGTAGTTCTTTTAGACCTAGTTCAAGGCCCAAAGTGATCTAATGGGATAAAAAATGAGAATTGAACAATAGAGTGCAAGTTTTGAAAGAGAAAAATAGCTTTTTCGCACCCAAGTGTTCAATTTTAGATCAAACTGTTCGATTGTATCCAAACTTAACTCATTAGCTAGAGTATGTTATAAGCTTTATGTGGGTGTTTGAATCACTCCAATCAGACGTCGGATGTGGAATTGACGCACAGCGAAAGTTCGCCATGTGAACTATGTTATAACAACAAAATTTTCTATCATATAAGCCATGGTGCATTGTATGCCACACCGTGATGCATGGCACAGAGAAGAACAGAGCACGTTGCTCTGCACTACATGCCACGGTTCATGGTGGTGTGAGTCGCAGTGCATGACACTTTTTTAGGAAAAGATATTGTGTTTTATTGAGTTTTTGAATTGTATTTACGCTTTTATTAGCCCTCTTATTTGAACATATGTTTGATGAAGTTAGGATTCCTCATTTTGAAAACAAATCGAGGGCTTTTACTCTAATATTGTGTTGTTATATGTGTGAATGTAATAGTAAAGTTCAAATTAAAGTAGGGACTTTACATCTAACATGCTGACACAGTATTTCTTTATATAAATCTTGAGTTCTTCACAAAAGGGCAACTCTAGGGACAAGACAACATTTGAAATTGAAAATAAGGTGAATTATTTTCTTTGCTCATTATTACCTGGAGAGGAAGTTAAGTATTTTAGTTCAAATTCAATTTGTATGGGAAATTAGGAGTCAAATTCCCTCATGTTATGTTTGAATGTGTGGATTTAAGTTAAGAATATAAATTTAAAATTTATATTTAAAATCTCACATTTGAAATTTATAAATTTTAAAAGTCAATTTGATAAACTGAATGTTGTTTAGATTATGATAATAAAATATATTTTTGAGTGTATAATTACTAAAGAGGACATTAATTTGTGATGATTCATAATTTTTACTATACAAATGAAATATATTTAAAATATATTTAAAAAATGTGATAAATATTTTAAATAACATAAAACTTAATTATAATGCTAAAAACTTGATCTCCAATTATTTGTACTTTTTTAATTTGTAATTTTAAAAAATGGGATAAATATTTGTAATTTTTATTAAACATTAATGTTAAAAATTAAGCAATTATTCAATTTATAATGTTAAAAACTTGATATCTAATTATTACTTATTTAAATAATAATTATATTTTAAAGAATTAATTATTTTTAAAATAAAAAATAAGAGATTAAACTTGGGATAATATGGTCAAATAATATTTCCCTTTTTAAAAACTCCATCATTTTAAGTTGATCAAAAACACATTTAATCACATTTAAAAAGATCTTTTTAAATAAACTTTTTAAATAAGATTAAAAATTAAATAACATCTGAATTCAAAATATATTTCAAAAAGTACTTTTGGTAAACTCTGATAAGTGAACCCAAAGTCTTCCACTCATTTGGCCAAATTGATTAACAATTCATTCCTTTCTTCTCTCACTCGCCAACTACAAATTGAAAGTGTCTGTGACAGAGACATCATCACACACACACTTTTCCCTTTAGCTTCAGCTTCAGCTTCAGCTTCTTGTTCATGGTGCCCACAGCAGCAATGTTCCTTCTCTGCCATCACGGCAAAATCCACAACCCTTCTTCTTTCTCTGTCTCGGCACCACAAGGCTCAAATTCTGTGACATAAAAATGGTGGGTTATTAAATTAAACAATCAGATCTTGAAACCTAGTGCTGTAACACTATAAGTGTTGTGGTGGATCATCATTCTGGTTTGGAAAATAGGTTTGAAGGCGCCTTTAAAATCTGCAGCTGCTAATCTCAGTCTCACAGTCATAGATTTAGTTTTCCAGCACTTTCTTTTTCTTTTTGTGTATCTTGTAAGTCCTTTGCAAAGAAAAAGTGGCAGTCTTGTTCATATTGTGTTATGCTTTTCAGACAATTTACTTTAGTCATAGCCAGAAAGAAAATGTTCATATTTTCTGTTTCATATTGCTTGATTACTTTCATGTCTCAAGCTCTTTGTCCTGTATTGTGCTACACTACATACTTTTTTTAGTCCTATTTATAAGTTATTTTTAATATGTTTTATTAAAAATAATGAAAATCTTAAACCTCATTAAATTAAAATTTAACAAATTTTCACATTTACTTCTAATAAACGTTCTTAAATATCATTATTGATATTTTTATTCAAAACATTTAATAAAGGCAGAAATGTAAAGAGAAACTTTAAAAATTGACAAGTGCCTTATAAATAGAACTAAATTTTTCTTCTCTCTCTACCCTATAAGTAAGACCAGAGGACCATAGGAGTATCTGTCAAGAAAGCATTCCTTTGCACATGTATAAGTTGATTGAGTTTTTCAATTCAAATTAAAACAGATTTTATTTGTCCTAAAAACAAAAAGAAATTCAGATATGTTTTATTGGAATCATAGAGAAATAGAGAGGTCAGAAAAACTATCATTATAATTCTCACTCTTGATATTGAAAAAGTATTGTTAATAAAATCTTATTTTTTAAATTATCTTATATTTTGAAACAAAATTTTTTAAAAAAATTATTTTATAATTTAAAATGGAGGGAGTACTTAAACAGAAAAATATTTACTCCTCTACAATAAAATAAAAAGAAAGGGATCCATGGTAAAAAAAAAAAATTGTGATACACTCCCTCCTGCAGTTTTATTTACAACTCACAAATCACTACAGGAATTAGTGACCCTAAATTTACATAAACTTCAATAACATATTTCAATATTTAATAGGTAAAATGGAAAATATAATTAAAATATAATGAGATAATTTATAAATAAGATTAAAAAAATCATTCCCTCTCCTTGCTAAGAGGGTGGGAAGTATATAAAATACTCTTAGCATCTTATTCATAGGATAAAAAAAAAAGATTAAGTTTGATCTTATTTATAAAATACTTTAACTATTTTTTATATTCATATTTATATTTATGCTCTTATTAAATATTAAAAATAACAAGAGTGTTGAAACATTAATGACTACACATAATAAAGAGAGAATATAATTGCTCCTCATGCTGAGTTATATAACTAAAAGAAAATTAAAGAATAAAGTATATGCGATCCCCCAGATAAAACAATATAATACTCCCTCCATTCAAAAAATGTAAGACATTTTTAATCAAATCTTACTCTAATAAAGTAGTTACTTAATTTCAAACTAATCCTATATTTTTATATTTATTTCTATTAAACACCCTATAATAAATATAAAGTCACTATCAATAGGGATATTTTTGGGAAAAAAAGGTAATGATTGCACATCAAAAAATTAAAAATACCTTATATTTTTAACATCCAACTCCTCAAAAAATGTCTTATATTTTTAAATAGAGGAAGTATTTATTATGCATGGTACACTCTACAAAACAATAGCAAACCAAAAATAATATTCCCTCGATCTCAAATTATAAGATATTTTTTTGAGAAAGATTTGACATTCTAAAATATAAAACACTTTAAGAAAATTAAATTTTCATTAAATATAATTATTTTAATATTAACCTTTCTCTCTTTATTTAATAATAATTAAGTGTGGTTATTAAATAAAAAATATTTTTAAAAATTTATATTTTTATTTTTAAAAAATAAAATTATTAAGTATATTTAATAAAGGTTATTGATATGTAAAATTTTATTTAAAAATATTTTATAATTTAAAATAAAAAGAATAATAAATTTTTGAACTTTGTATTGTGAGGATCCTCTGGACAGAATATCCTCTCCAAAAATAGGCGTATGCCGCTTCAGACGGCGGGCGCACGGTATCCTTTAGTAAAAAGCGAAAGAATAGTTCGCTCTGTGCTCGCCGTACGGCTCCGTGCTTCTGGATCGTGCACGCGTCACTTTATATAGTGGAAAGGTGGTTGAGGTTTCTTAACATTTCACGATGTGGACCTTTTTATCTGATCCTATGATAATATCTACACGAGGTGCTCAAAACTGAATGCCAAGTGTCTAACGATCTTGTATAGCTTCAAAGATGCGTACCAACTACAAAGTGAATATTTGGAAAAAAGTTCTATGGGCCGAACTAATGAAACCTTGAAAACTACACTACAATCTTTCTTAAACAACATAAGAATCATTCGTGCTCATTAAAATTGAAATATATTTGTTACTGTTACAAGGATGTTATGGATTTATTATTGCTTTTAAGTGAAAGCCCCCACGTAATACCAAAAAGACAAGTTTTCAAATTATAATATTAAAAAATTTTATTTAGATTTAAAATGAAATTTCAAATTTCAAATTTTATATTTGAATTTAAAAAAAAAACTTGAATGACGTCGGTAGTTTGTTCCTAATCAAAGTCAACGGTCCAAATGGTCAACTTCTACTGGGACCAAACTGTCAACGCTAACTGTGACTGTAGCACAGCCAACTTTCACCAAGATCGGAGAGCTAATTTCCATCAAGATTGAATTGATGGTGATGATTGGGGATGAGATGGCTAACTTCCATTAGCACAAAACCGACAACGACGATCGAGACAAGACAATTGACTTCCAATAGGACCGGACCTATAGTGATGATTGGGATGGGACAATAGACTTCCACCGAGATTGGATTGATAGTGACGACTAGGATCGGATGGCCAAGTTCAAACAAGAGGCGATCAAGACCAAATCACAATTGTCGACTGAGATTGTGCCTGCAACTAGGATCGAATAACTGGCTCCTACTGTGGTTAGGTCAGCGACCTTGATTGGGAGTACTGGCAATTTCAATCAGGATCGAATTGCTGACGATTCGATCATGATTAGCGCTAGTAGTCCAATCTTGATCATAAGAAGTCATCCGATCCCAGTTAACACAAGCAACCTGATCCCCATGGAAGTCAATCATCCTATCCTTATCGTCACTATCAATCCGATCTTGGTGGAAGTCGATCGTCCGATTGCCATCAATCCTATCTTTGTTGAATTCGGCCATCCTATCCCTATCATCGTCATTTGTTCGGTCCCAATCATTGTCGCCTTGTCAAGGTATGATCCTAGTGGAAGTCGATCATTCGATCCAAATCATCGCCTGCACTTTAGTCCCTACTAGTGAGGGCAGTTTGGTCTCAATGGAAGTTAGCCATCTAGTCCTAATGGGTACTGACGGTGTAATCTCAATTGCAGAGGCAGTCCAGTCCCAGTCAATAGTGTTGGCTTGGTTACGTCAGCTTCAACGGTCCAGTCTAATTACTGTTGGCATGCCGATCAAGCCTTCATGAATTTGGGTCAAATTATAAAAGAGATTAAGTTAGAGTTTGAAATAATAGGGGTTTAGAAAGGATCTCAAATTATAAAGAGATTGAGGTAGAACTTGAATTTGTATTTGGGTCATACATTTTTAATTACTCAGATAATGGATTTGACTTAAATCCAAATCTAAATTTATATGTATCCAAACATAGTATAAAGTAATTTCAATTTTAATTATTGAAGTTTACACAAATGAGTTTTTAAAAACTATTAATTGTTCTAGCATGCCTCCTCATAAGGTCATTCTCAAAGTTGGTGTTCTAATAATGTCTATGAGAAATATTGATCAAGCTTCTTCATTTAATATTTAATATTCATATCTGAATAAAATACTTTCTATCTATCTATTTCAATGGATATAGATATTAAACATAGTTTGTTTATGCTAGATTTGCTGTTCAATCAAATTTCTTGAAACTCTTTTCATTAATCATCATGCAATAAAGGCTTAGAAGAATTGGGGAGTATGTAAACTACAATGTTTGTAATGAGATCATATGTGAAAATTAATTTTCTAATAATTTGTTTCAACTTATATTGATATATTTGGTAGTTTTATTAATTTAACTTTTGCATAAATAATCTTTTTCAAGTTGATGGACTAGAATAAAAGTAATTAAATTGTTTACACATTTTTCCATCATAATTTTCAATGTTGCTAGGTTTGATTGGTACATAAGTTAAACATTTAAACATAATATAAGTTCATTGTTCAACTCTATTTCCTTTTGTTCTTTTTTTTTTCTTGGTTCAATTAGAGGTCATAAAACTGTTTCATTCATAACCATGCAACGCACAAGATTGACGCTAATCAAACCCATGAGGTTGAAATAGAATGGCTTGTAAGTCTTGGTAATGGTACCTTGGGGTCACTACATGATGGCACTTGTGAGGTTAAAATGCTACCCCAACTATTGATATCTTTGATTTCTCAAATCCTATTGAACGAATACTATCTTTTGCCTGTCCAAAGATGCTTGGAATTACCTAAATACTAAGTTCTTCATAAAAAGAGCAATTCTAGCACCAACAATAGATATAGTTAATCAAGTGAATTCTTATCTTTGCTCATTATTACCAGATAAGGAAGTTGACTACTTTAGTTTATTTTCAGTTTGCACGAGAGATCAAGAGTTTGATGGCTTCAATGAACTTTACACAACTAAATTTTTAAATACTATCAATTGTTTTGGTATGCCTCGTCACAAATTGAGTCTTAAAGTTTGTGTTCTAGTAATGCTTCTAAGAAACATTGATCAAGCTTTTAGATTGTGAAATGGGACCATGTTTAGGATTACTCTTCTAGCTAAACATTTTATTAGAGGAACAACTTTGAATCCAATTACCATGTGAATCCATATGAATCCATAATAACAATCAAGTGCACTCTTTATCAAAAGTTGGAGCCTACCTCTCTAAAGAAGTGCTCTCTCTTGATTAGCTATATGTTGCTTCATCAAGGGTTAGAAACATTGATGGACTATTGAAGATTTTAATACATGAGGATGACCTCAAAGCAAAAACATGATCCGCATAGGATGTTATGTACAGAGAAATATTTCAAAATGTAGGTTATGACTTTTGAATGTAATTAACGTTTATTCTTTTCTTCAATATTGTATTCCCTAACAATCAATTTCATATTGATATTCTAACATTGCAAGGTTTGATAAATACAAGTGTTCAATATTGGAACATCATATAAATTCAAATTGTTCTAACCATTCCTTTTTGTTGTTTGTTTCTTTCAACCATTGCTCATATAATTGTTTTTTTCATACCTGTGCAATGCATGAGGTTCACGCTAGTTTGCATATCAAGCGCGTTGCAATGATTTGGATGTTAATATTTTTATTGACTTCTTAAAGAGTATATTGGCCCAACTGCTATGAAAAATACAATTCCCATAAAGATGTGGTTTTTAAATATTTTAAAATATGGCCTATTTATAAAATCAATTAAAAGTGATTTTTTTTTATCCACAGAACAAATATATTATTAAATTAATTTGCATAAGCTGATCCACGAATATATCTCCTGTAACTAATTAAATGATTTTGACCTTTAACTAATTGAATTAAATTCCTACACAAACGTCTATCATATCTTTCCCCCTATTACAATTATTTTTTCCCTTTCTTAGTGGGCAAAAAAATCAACACTACTATAAAAATAAGATTTAGTAGCATGCATTTTGTAGCAATAAAAAAATAAATGCCACTAATATTAAAATCCAAATCCCTTAGGTGGCATTTCTTATATCAAATGCCATTGGTTATAAATTACTCTTTTTTTTTAAATTTTAGTAAATGTTAATAGGTGACATTTATTGTGCCACATCATCTAGTTAATTCCACATATAGTAGCATTTCAGTAATAAAACACCACCAATCTAATCTGTCTAAATGTTTTATTACATCATTAAATAATTTAGACATAATTATTTAATTATAATTAATAATAAATATATATTCTTAATTAATAAATTAAATTCATAAAAGTGGCATTTCAAAAGTTTGAAAGCGCCACCTGTCTACTTTTTTACTCAAATATAAATTAAAATAAAAGAGGTAGTGTTTTCAATGTTTTAAAATGCCATCGCTTTACTATTGTTTATTATTTCAAACCAAAAAATATTAAATTTGATTTATAATAAATATATATTATTATTTTGGTGAAATCAATAACAAAGAGGTGACCTTTCAAGAAAAAGAAAACGTCGCCTCTCTATCTATTTATTAATTTTTAATAAAAAATTAATATATATTTGTATTTAACCAAAAAAAAAAAACAAAGAAGTGACGTTTTCAAACCCACAAAATGCCAATGCGGACAATACGATGATTTGAATGGAGGGAGCAAATATAACGGCACAAGCTGGGAAGAGAGGGACAATGGTGTGAGTTGAGGTGAGAGGGAAGTTGACGACAGCACGGGCAGGCACAACAACTAGCAACCAAGAAAGGTATTTTTGAATTATAACGTTATAGTATGTGCAAATTACTTATAATATGATTAAAAAAAAAAATTCCTTCCCCTCCTCTACATTTTTACTATCCAAACAAGGGGCTCTCCTTCCCCCTGAACCAAACAGGGGGTTAATGACAAAATTCCTCTATTAATCAAGTGTAAAAAAACCATACACTAATGCGCACGTCATCTGATTTCTCTATTTTCTTCTCTTATCAATTCAAATTCCATACCATTCAATATTTCTCTCTCTAATATTTTTCCCCATAGGTGAAAAGTTCAGAAGCATGCTTCTAGGAAGGAAAGGAGGAGAGTAGTATTTCCGTTCAAAACCTCATTTGGAAACTATTGTTCCATACATGGTTTTACTACACACTCAAGAAATTTATGATCTAGTCACCAGAAATATTGGGTTTAAATATATATATATATATATATATAACTATCACCTAGTCATTTTGTTTATCTTTATCATCATCCTTCATGTTTTCAACTTCATTATCCTCTTCCGCAGAAGTTCTCGTTGCATCATGCTCCGGACTTGTATTGTTCGCTCCAGATTCAGAGGAAGCGTTGGTGAAGCCAGTGGCATTAGCCACATTTTGTTGCTTCTCCATCATCCCAGACAAGGCTAAGCTTGGAGACCATTCAAGAACATCATCAATTATGTTAGATACCCTCTTCTGGTACCTGCACAAGGACAATACAGTCCTAACTTCAGTTCCCATTACAGCCAACAATGAATGTTTTAAAAGTCGGACCATATGTTAAACCAGAAATGTGTGTAAGCAAGTCTCAATAAGTCAAACCAATGATATAATAATTAAATAAAAAATATCAAATGCAAACATAAAACATATATAAGAAATAAATTGACAGTATGTCTAATTGTTAATAAAATAACACGTGATCACAAATTAACAATATAACTTATTGGTTAAATCAAGTATGAGTAGGCTAAAAAATATATCTGCATTTACATCCACAGCAGTCAATATCTTCTTCGGAAAATGATTCCAAATCATATTATATATATGTGAAGGGTCCAAAAGGAAGTTGACTTTTAGTAGGGTTTAATTTTTGAATTTTTCTGGTTTTTTCAAAAAAATTTAGCCTTTTTTAATATCAGGTTTAGACCCATCTAGTATTTTTGAAAATCACTTCAATTACTGGTTCAATGACAACTCAACTCAACCATGAAAACAATTTTTTGGTCAAAACTAAGCCATTAACGGTTTAGTCAATGGTCCAATCAATTCTTACAGAACGGCTAGGTAGTATAACAGCAGGTGGTAAAGGGTCATTAGATCCAACGGATCCAGGATCCTCTAAAGTTAAGGATAGGTGAAATTGGTTAAGTTGAGCATAAGATGCTGACTGATACTACCGGTATAGTGCCAGGTACTTTGTGTTTAAACTTCACCAACTTCAGGATATGTCCTCTGCAAATAAGGTTCTAACTCATCTGTTTAGTACTCACCTTGCTCTGGCAGCCTCATCAGGGGCATGATGCCTCAGCAATAATATGACCAGCACAGCAACTATGGCATAGAAAAGCCTAGTTGTCCACTTGGGTCGCTCCTCCTCATCTTTCTTGGGCAAAAATCTGAATAACTCCCGCAATGTAGCCTCCTCGGCGAGAATGTTAGGGAAAAACCAATACCTTCTTCCAAGAATTATGTATAAAGCACCAAATACTGTAGCTCTTACTGCAAGATAATAACAATCCATACATGAGGCCCAAGGGAAAAACTGAAGCAATTTAGGGTCAACTAGTTAAGAGAAAGTACACAATCAACCATGTTCAAACTAAGCAAAATTCATGTTTCAAGAACATGGAGATAAAATCATAAAATAATCTGATTCCTTGAGCATTTGACAAGACTATAGTGAAAATAATTCAAGAACTCAATGAGGGTTGAAAAACAAAAGCAGGATGCAAAGGGAATCATCAAAGCAACTCAGCCGAAGAAGCCTTAATGCCACTATATGTTATATGCAACACAACACAACAGGAATTGTGGCAACGGAAAAAAGAGAATATACATGTCATAAGCAGGGAGACAATTACGATTCTGCTTCAAAGAGCTTTCCCTCATAGATGACACAAATAATGCGAGTCACCAGCCTTACAGCTCCCAAATTGTTGGAATCACAAAATCTGTGCTCATTCACTGAATTCATGAAAGCCTGAAATGGTCAAATTTTGGCCCAACGATTAAGCAAATGCAATTCAGCTGTCTTTGTCAAATCATCCCAGTTAAAATAGGTCCTTCTACTTTAACCACCAGCACAAACTAATGCCAATCCCAATCTTGCCTGAGGCACAATATCTCCCACTTCTAGCATGCATCCCAAGGCAAGTGCTTAAACTGCCATTTACAGCTTGCTAAGAGGTGATAAGAATTTAGGAAGTTTTACACGTTAAGAAAACAATTACTTGTATTTCACCCAAAATAAAGAGTGCAGATGTCTTCATGTGATCAAAATCATGTATTAGTAGAGATTGTAAGTTCAGTGTTGTCATGGGCCATGGCAACACAAAAGCCAAGACTATCAAGCGAAAATCCAAAAATAGTTTTGACATAATCTCTATAACATGTTCCCTCACATAAAAGCCTTTGGTGAACAAAACGCTTGCCACTAAACCTGTATTAGAACATAGTTTTATTTATAAGAAGCAGGAGCAGCAAAGGCCAAACAGATGACTCCTTAATCATACAGGCACCAATGTCATGTCAATGTGATGTAGGAAAAGAGAGAAAGAAAAGAGAAACAGTGAGGAGGAGAGCGAACGAGAGAAAAGATCAAATACGATTCCATTAGTTTTGAAAAACCATTACAATGACCATTTATTCCCTTTTATAGACACTAATGAACTACCTATCCTAACTACCTGTTAATCCCCTTAACTAACTCCTATTTATCTATTTATTACATAACACAATGACAATTTGAACTCAAGCTTAAGCTGTACAGAGAAAACTGCTACATGCTTTTAAATAATCTCTGACAAGTTTTACCCACATATTACCATAAAATCATTCAACGATATATTTTGATCATTCCTGTCAGTTCTATATATTATTTTCTCAACAGAAATTTACAATGACATTGATCCCATCCTTCAAGTATAGGGAGTATGATTCTAACAAGTCTTTATGACTATATACATATCAATGACCTCTCAGAGACATATTTTCTAGAATTCCAGTTAGATATCTGAATCAAACGTGGAACTCAGAAATGCATTGGCAATTCGACTTCCATAAAAATTTCAAGTTAAAAAGGAGCTGAAAATATCCTGCTCACAACAGATATCTGGAAGTCTTAAGAGGCATCCCTTTACTTGTATGGCAATAGTTTCCTTTAGAACAATGTCATTTATCAATCAAATGACAATATATTTAATAACAGCCATAGAGTTCATCTAATAATATCCATTCAAACATTATAAATTCAATGCTTAATTGATTCGAAACTAAATTTAGCACAAAACTTTAATAGCATCTAGCACAGACTAAGATACTTCACCTCTTTTCAAGGAGGGTGCGGATGAGCCTAGGAGGGGGTAAAAAAGGATGATCAATTAACAATAGTAATGATGGTGTCCAATCAATTATTACAATATAACCTCACAAACCCTGCTACCTTCTCATATTCTATGCAGTTGAAAACATCAACAAATTCAAATTAAGTAAAAATCCAAAATATTTTGAACTACAACAAATCGTCAAAAAGTCTCAAAGGTCCTTGTCATTTGAAGGCACTAAGTTATAGCTCAAGTCATTCTATAATTATTTCAAAAAAAAAAAAAAAACAAAAGCTATTCACACTTGGGGTAAAAGATACGTGCTTGTTTATACTAATATTGGAAGCATTCAAAATACAATCTAACACAAGCTTTTGCACATCAATCACAAAACAATGGGTTGTGCATGACTGTTAGGAAATGAACACATGGTGTAGTGCTGCAATGTCGGACAAAAATGTGTTTACTTAATCCAAAAAAATAAGTCATGAGGAGGATAAAAAAGGAATCATTTGTAGATCAGAATGAACAAGATCAAATGGAAAAGACACGCAAACTTACTCAGAAGTAGTGAGAAAATGAGCAGAAGGATTCCAGCACATGAGTAAAGTATTAATAGCTTGCAGCGATGAGGATACACAGGAAATAAGCAAATTGCCAATGTTAATACAGGCCAGCAAAATGAGAGAAGTGTCTGCCAGAGTGGGCGCCTTTTTACAAATGTCCATGCAAAAAATGCATCGTTATCAGAAAATACTTGTTCCTGCCACGGACAACCAAATATTGTTAACACAAGAAATCAAATCAATTCCTTAGCAGAGTGTAAGAGTAAAGCATCAGATCATATCATATAAAGCTTCCCAATGGGCAACAAGGCAATGATTTCAATTAGAATATGCATTTAAAATTTAATGATAGCTTATAAGGCCTATAGAATATCTCCGAAGTTTGGAAAAATGCCATTATTTTTTCAGTCGTTTTCAAGATTAAAAGAATCCCCAATCACATTTGACTGCAAGTTAAATAGAATATTCCCTTGTATTCCATGTGAGAAAGCACAAGACCAGAAAAGCCCTGCCATGCATTAAGAAACGAAATCACAAAACAATCTCTCTAATGCCAAACACCCACAAATGTCAAACCAGAGAAAGAGATAGAAATCGTACAAAGCAAACAATAAAATTAGTCATTGATACGATGACACAAGAAAGCAGGAAAAATTCATTAATACAAGAGGCCCACAAAGTGATTGCTCCAATAATCAAGTTATTCATCTTCCCAAGTCCCAACAAAGCATGATTAACCATCTCATGCAAAGGTTGACCTATATATTCATTGGGATGTTCAAAATCTTCTAAAACTGAAATGTTACCTTTAATTTAGTTATAATTCTATAAGCCATATTAAAAACGCAGCTTCCATACCAATTCAATTTTGGATGACCACTTCAAAAATTTCAATCTTAGTTCCATCCATAATCCTTGGTATCAGTCACAGAGTCACAGTTCAAGTATGGAATTGCAAAAGCAAAATCATTTGCTGGCGCTCACCAAATTCCTAGCAGGAGGAAAACTCCTAGATTTTATCAATGAATTGTAGGGTCATATATGAAAAATTGAAAAAATCAGCATCAATTAAGTGTTATTCTACAACAATATAGAAAGAAACTATTATTTCTCCTAAAAAGCCTTTGATCATTTTTATCATGGCCCCTCTGAAAATGCAATCCCAGTTCAGCCTGATCCAAAGTAGGAGTCAAGCTTCAAGAGTTCAAGTACACAAACAGCAAGAGCACAAGTTTTCTTGGCAATTTTTTATCATAGGTCTGTAAAAACGAAACCACCCCCATCCATGACAGAGAGTAAACGGAATTGAAACAGGTGAGAAAAGAAAGCCAGCAAAAAAGAAACAGGAAAATTGTAGTGCCCATGGAGATTCTTAAATGTTTGTTGATCCTCACCCGGAACATATATGTGCAAAACCTTTGAATATTGTCATTATAACTCAACAGTCACTCTAGGAACATAAAAATCAATAAAGGGGGCAGAAAAAACACTTACAGTGAAGATTTCTAAATGTGCAGGCCAAGTAGACAGCTTTTTCTTCCCTGGACGAACAATCTTTACCACACGGTCACAACGCACTAGAAGGTTTTTTCTCAGTAGAATATGGGCGATATCTTCTGTTTCCAGATTCTTATCTGATTCTAGAATATCCTTGAGCTCGGGATGTTTTTTCAAGAAGCTCACAAAATCCTTCCCTCTAAAATATTCAACACGTGTCTCCTGTAGAACAGCCCACCTAGAAACCAAATCCTTATGGTCCCTCACCTTCTCAGCAAACAACTGAAACACATCTTTCTTGGCAGCTTGTTTCTGAAAATCAATCAGTGACAATCAATAAATAATAAGAATACTTTGGCTTTTCAAATTGAAGTGATTCAGTAGTTAGCAAGAGTCAATGGGTCCCAAGTCCAAGCATCTAGTGCGCCATGCACCGAAAAACATAAAAGACAATGCATACTTAAACACTCCCAGGCAGTGGTAGATTCAGAAAACAATGATTTTTTTTTTTTTTTGGGAGGGGGAACTAAAATTTAGAATAAGTCAAATGTGGTCACAGAGGGATTGTTAATATTTATTTCAGAATTCTTTACAAATCAAATTCCATGCATTTACAAATTGCTGCTGAATCTGCCATTGCGCTCAGCAAAATGATCTAATAAGTAGGAAAACAGATCCCAAAATATGAAAAAAAGAAGTAACTGACATATAGCACAGAACAATATGTAAAGCTAGAAACTTATATAAAAACAAACCATTTTTTGCAATTGCTAAACATAACAACCCAAATTTTAATGCAAGATTTAATTCACTTTAAATCATCCTCCATCATATATTTTCCATAAAAAAGAAGACAATAAAAAAAAATTATACCCATTGTAAATATTTTACCTTTAAGAATTAAATAGCATTTAAAATAAGAGTAAAATAATCAATGAATTTTCTATTGACACCCCCTCTAAATTCATTTTGTACTAAAACGTCCATTGATTATTTTAAAACCAACATTTACACCCTGTTGGCATGAACAAGAATTTAATGTTGAAGTATTAGTCCGGCAGTTTGCTGATACCTAAGTGTGCTGCATTGAATTAGGTCATTGGGAGCTTTGGGAGGAAAGTTGTACCTACTATCAAAAGAGGACAAGAAGATGCGCCTAATGTCAAGAGTACAAGCTTAGCTAACAATTCTGCTGCAAGGGAGCGCAAGTTGTCACGGTCTTAGAACTCCCATGTTCTTGAATCATGCCAACCTTAGCATGATCAACCTTTTGATCTTTACTAAGTCAGTCGGATCCTCAGAATGTGGGCAAAGAAACTAGAAAAATTGAACACAAGAGAAAAGAACTTGGATGAGAAAACTTGAAAGTTTAAAACTTTGCTTGCTGTTTACAAATGAGGGGTAAGGAGGTATCTATAGACTTCCCCCTTATTCCAGAGCTTTCCCACCTCCTTAATAGATGGTGGAGATCAATCCAACCCTATGTTTAAATTCATCCTCTAAAGTGTTCTATAGAAATATCTACAATAAATATCTTAATATTTACAAAAATATTTTTAAAGACTAACCTTCAAGATACGTGAAGAATATTCTAGAACATCCTAAAATATTCTAGACATCTACACATTCCTCCATAAATTTCTAATACCTTCTAAAAACTTCTTGATCCTTGTAGATTTCTATAAATAATTCTAGATTGCTCTAGATACTTCTAGAACATACTGGATCCTAATTGAAAATCCTAGAATTCTCTCCGTTATCCTGGAGGTCTCCAAAAACTCCATAACCTTACAGGTTCTCTTCTATCTAAACATAGATTGTGAAATTCTCCCTCACCTAATCTAGTGACACCCTCATCACTGACTTGATCTATATACCAAGGATTCCTCTTACAGGGATTCTTCTTCTTCCTGCTTCTCTTATGATTCATCTCCCCATGAGATCAGATCATTCCTAGCCTTCTTGGCATGCTAGCCTCCTTCAATACTTGCCCACCCCTTGAAGCAGGTACCATACAAGCAACTGCTCCCTCAAGGATGCATAATATATCATTACTATGGCATGATAAGAGCTTTTACCTGTGCATGAACTCCAAACCAAGCACCGATTTATTGTCATTCATACAAGCAATTGAGAAATCTACCTTTCCATGCCAATCCCCAAGACATAACTCGACCCCTTAAGCAATGCCAACTAAGGGTTGAGGAGGAGAATTGACACCTTTCAATAAACCTCCCCCTCTTTCAATTTTGAGATCTACCCTCCTAGTCCCTTCTGGAGAAATGAAATTATAGTCTGCCCCAGTATCCACTGTGATGCCAACAAGCTTCCCGTTTAACTTGGCCTTCACATGCATCAATCCACTGCCTCGTGAAGGTTGGGCTTTAAAAGTGTTGAGGAATTGAATTGCTCCTATCCTAGGATTTGTTTCCTCCTCTTGCACTTCCTGTCTTTGCACCAAAGCAAATAATGACCCTAGCTTCAGACAATCCTTCATCCTAAGAGGGCCTTGACATATAAAGTAGCGAAGTTCCCTCTTCTCCTTTTGCTTTGTTTGGGATTCCTTTCTAGTATCTCCCTTGTTCATCACTTTCCCTTAAATGTTTGTTCCTTTACCATTTCCTTCCCCACCATTTTCAAGATTAGGGTTAGAAAATATATTCTTAGGAGACTCACCTCTGTCCCTTTAAAGCTTCAAGAGGCTTTCAGCAATCATTAGGGCTTCATCAATGGTCTTAACACATTGTCATTGCAACTCACGCTTGGCCTAATTTTGAAGACCATCAATGAAGTAAAAGAGACTTTCTTCACTACTCAAATTAGGAATCTGAAGAGTCAGAGGTAAATTCCTGCACATAGTAAAAGATAATAGTCTTATGTTTGAGCTCCCTCAACTTCTTACGAGCTACATAGACCTCATTCTCTAGATAAAATTGCCTCTTTAACTCTTTCTTAAAATCTTCCCAGGTGTTGATTGTGCAAAGTCCCTTGTCCATGTCTGCCTGCTTCCTTCGCCACTATAACATTACATTACTAGTAAGGAAGCAAGCAGTAGTACATACCTTGGTCTGATCATCCATTATCCCCAAGGTGTAAGCATATTGCTCCATCTTCCATAAGAAGTTCTCCGCTTCCTTGGCATCTCGTACACCCTTGAATTCCTATGGTTTGGGAAAATCCATCTTCACTTCTCTTATTCCACTATTTTCATCCAATAGTAGCTTCCTCCATTTTCTTTCTAACGAGGTTATGAGAGTGTTGAGTTGTTGTTCTATTACAGTAATGGCATCCATCACCTTTGCCTCTAAGGATCTCCTAGCCTCTTTGCATTGATCCTTAGAGTTTTGCAAAGCTTCCACACTACTCTTTGCCACTTCAAGTTCTTTGAGAGTGGTCCTCCAGCATACTCATGTCACTTTCAACCATCTCTACTCTACCAACCACCTCTTCCATGGTCTTTTATAAGGCGTCAATTTTTATTAATAGGATAGCAAAGTTCTCTAAACGTACCTCACTAGTACCTCGTGCCTTCTTACCACCATGGTGTGGAGATTGAAATTCCCTTCCCCTCTCTTCGACGTGAGCAAGTGCCTCCTCAATTACACCCGACATCCTTGCCTACGAGTATCCACCCAAGCCACGGCTCCCTCGAACCTTGGCTCTGATACCATATTGTTACGGCCTTAGAACTCCCCTATCCTTGAACTGTGCTGACCTTAACATGATCAACCTCTTGATTTTTGCTAAGTCAGCTGAACCCTCAGAATGTAGGCAAAAAAACTAGGAAACTCAAACACAATAAAGAAGATAGCTTGGATGAAAAAACTTGAAAGCTTAAAACTTTGCTTGCTATTTACAAATGAAGGGTCAGGAGTATTTATAGACTTTTCCCTTATTCTCAAGTTTTCCCACCTCCTTAACGGATGGTGAAGATCAATCAAATCCTATAATTTACATTCCTCCTCTAAAGTGTTCTATAGAAATATCTGCAATAAATATCTAGATATTTACAAAGATATTTCTAGAGACTACCTTCAAAATATGTGTGTAATATTCTAGAACATCCTAGAATATTCTAAATATCTCCACATTCCTTCATAAGTTTTTAGAACCTTCTAAAAACTTCTAGATCCTTGTATATTTTTATAGATAATTCTAGATTATTCTAGATATTTCTAGAACATTTTAGAACATACAAGATCCTTTTTGACAATCCTAAAATTCTCTCCGTTATCCTAGAGGTCTCCAAAAACTCCACAACTTTACAGGTTCTCTTCTATCTGAAGATAGGTTGTGACAAGGTGCTCGAATAAATTAAAGGTGTAGCTGTAGCATGTGTTACTGTATTTAGGTTTTGAATAACTCAGGGAGGTGAGTGCAGTATAATATAAAAATTAAATTTAAAAAAAATATTTTATAAACGAAGTAGCTTCCTAATATTTGATCTTCAGAATATGCTTTAATTTCAGCAGTGCCTTCGTTAAAATCAAGGGTATCACGAAATCCTAACTCCCAGAAGACCAAAAATTCTTTTTACTCAGGCTTTACGTCACTCCGTTAATTAGCAGCCAAATTAAGGGCAAAACAAATTGAGGTCGAGTAAAAATTACAGCAATTTTATATACATTATCCAACAGATTAATTGCGATCGACATGCACAAATGATTCAAAATACGTTATGATCTCTAAATGCGAAGCCTATGAGTCAAACCAGCGTATGGCTGCCTAATACCCGCGGCAATCAGCTTTGCCCCTAAAGAACATGCAATTGGCAAGACAAGTAGAAACAGCCGCAATTTATCAAAATTATTTTGTGATAACATAAAATCATCATAAAGTCGTAATTAAACCCGACGAAGAATTTTTTTTTTTTTTTTTTGGCCAAAACAAACCCGACGAAGAATTGAAATTACAACAACATTTCACATTTACGGGGAAAAAATCGGGCCAAAAAAGGGGAACATAGATCGAGGAAAGAGAAGGCAGAGAAAAAAAAGACTACCTTCGGCGGTGGGTCAGAGTTGGGATCTCTGCCACCGTTCGAGGCGGCTGCGGAGGAGCGTCGCACCCTCTTCTTCTCTACTCCTCCTGATTTCTTCATTTCGTTTCTCTTGCTCTCCACCTCGCGCCCTGTTTCTGTTTTTTCCATGTATGCTCTTTGATTGTTTGACTAGTCTTTTCCTCTTGGTACATTCAAGTTTTCTGAATAAATTTTGGGCATATTCATTTATTATTGAGATATACTATAGGATAAGTAGAAGGAGGAGGAAAATTTTAATATTATTTTTTATATTTTTACTTTTATTAAATATTTTAAATAAAAATATCAGTAATAAAATTTAAAAATATTTATTAAAGATAAAGATGTTGAAAGTTTACTCCTTAACTTGTTAAATTTTAAAACAAATTTAATGAGATTTAAAATTTTTATTAACTTCGATAAAACATATTAAAAGTAAGTTATAAATAGAATCAGAAGAAGTACTCATGGTAAAAAGTTTTTTAGAGAAAAAAAATTAGATGAGTTCAACTAAACTAGAGCTGAGTCTCACTGACATTGACAACAAAATTTAATAATATACAAACATAGAAATTGTAATTGCAATTTTCATAATTTATTACGCTCCCTCTATTAAAAAATATCTCATATTTTTTAAAAGGTTTGATGTTTAAAAATATAAGATATTTTTAATATTTTAAGATGTAATTATTGTGTTTTTTCTAAAAGTAACCTTAAAAATAAATTACTTTATATTTATTTTATAGTAAAACACCCTATTAAAATGAGATAAATATGAAAAATTGATATTAGTTTAAAAACAAATATCTACTTTATTAGGATGAGATTCGATTAAAAATATCTTATATTTTTAACAAAGGAAGTACTTCTTTCAAGCTTAAAGGACATCTTCTAAAAGAATTATTTGATCCTTAATATAAAATACATGAATGATTATTTATCATTGTTTTTAATTTCACTTCTATTGAAAATTTTATTTTATGACTCCTTATATATTATACATCTCTCTCTTTCTACTTTTAATAAGAGTAAATTTGAAGAACAAAATTTATTTTAAGATATTGATTGCTTTTGCAAGTGTACGGGATTACAATAATAAATTATCCAAAGCATTTTAGGTGTCGAACTCATATCTCTCTTCACATCCTAGTTCATCAAGATTATTCATAAATTTGATCAAATGATGGTCAATCATTAAATCAATATGCATGAAGAATAAAAGAAATAAATATAATTGAAAAAAGTAAAAATATTCATAATTATAAATGCAAAGAGCCAAAGCAAAGAAAATAAAAAATTAGCTCCCTAATTGGGCTACATCCCTACCCCAATTGAGTAATTTAGAAATACATAATAAAATTAAATAACATCATTCTAAAATGTCTAGTCATAAAAAACAATCACAAAGAAAAATTAAGGAGTAAAAAGATATAATTATAATTTGTAAAACTTCTCAATATTTTTACTTTTAGCTTTCAGAATGTTTTTATTGGCTTCAAATATATCAAAAAATTCTTGAGGTTCTTCCCTCTTAATAGAAGGAATATTAATAGTTAAGGTGGAGGCTCCTGCTCTTATTTCTAATCAGTGTAGGACTCTAATAGATGTCTCATTTAGGTCTTTTCTTTTCTCTCATAACGTCTCCCATGCTTCTCCATTCTTCCTCAATGTGCGTGTATATATAGGGAGAGGGTCTCTCAACTTTTTTTTTCCCCTCCATTTTCCTCTATTTCCCTCATCCCACCATTCATTAATTTTATCATTTAAAAAAATTAATAAAATAATTTGAATGATGAGAATGGGAGAAATGTAGGAAAATGGAGGGAAAAAAAATGAAGATACCCCTCTCCCGTATATCTATGAGGTTCAAATCACTTCCTTTCTCTTATGTATATATATATATATATATATTTCTCTTTTCCTTCTTTTTTTTCTATTTGGTTTATTCTCTTTTTTTCTTGCAAAATATAAAAAAAATATGAGTAAATTTTATATCAAAATTATTTTTTATCTTATAATTAAGTGAAGAGGAAAAAATATATAAATATTAATTAAATAGATATGAAATCCTATTAAATATAATGAAATCTAAACTAAAATCTAAACCTATTTAATTATAAAATATGTACTTATCAAATATATTTAATGAATTAATTATCATTCATGAATTTTAGTGAAATAGTTGAAAATGCCTTATAGTAAGAACCTAAAAGAGTATATGGTATGACTTATTTTTGGTAAAGATGACAATTAAAAAAAGGGGGAAATGGTTATAAAATTCCTTCAAATTATACAAATGATAATTTGGTCTATCAAAATATCATAATTTTAATGAAGTCTTTAGGGACATCTTTGTCAATAACTTTTAGTAAAAAGACTATTTTACTTTTATTGATAAATTGTGATTTCTTGTTCAATTCTTGCAATTGTATAAAAAAAAGTTGTGATTTTCTAAATAAAAGTTGTGAATGAAGTTTGTTATTTTGAGAACTTGTCTTTTAATAATAGAAATTATACTTGACAAATTATAATTTATTGTTCAACTCTTGTGATTCACAGAAAAAAAGTTATTATTCCTTAAACAAAAGTTGCAATTGAAACTTGTTTTTTAATAACAGAAATTACATTTGACAAGTTGTGATTTCTTGTTCAACTCTTGCGATTTATATAATAAAAGTTATGATTCCTCAAACAAAAGTTCTTATTAAGATTTATTATTTTCAATAAAAGTAAAATGATATTTTCTCTAAAAAGTTATTAGCAAAAAGGTCTTTAAGGACTTCATCAGTATTATGGAATTTTAAAGGACCAACTTGTCATAGATATAATTGGAAGGAATTTTATTGTTATTTTTTTCTAAAAAAGACAAAGAGAGTGAATGATAATCAGGTTCAAAGAATAAATTATTGTTATGAATAATAGAGATTGAGAGAGAAGAGAAACCTAGAAGGAGAGAATGATATAAATAAAAGCTTTCTTATTTTGAGTCTCAAATACAACTAAAATCCCCCCTTTTTGTAGACATAGGTGTATAATTTAAATCAAATAAAAATATGGTGATCAATGATGAACAAAAGATATTGCATGATAATGAAGATTAAAAGATCTGAAGAGATAATAGACATTCACATAATATTATAATATTCAAAGCGCTCTTGCTTGGATGTCCATGTTGAATTAGGAGAAATAGCAAAAAATTAAAATCAAAATCTAGAAACCTCAAACGTAATCGCAAACTGATCAAATTTGTTTAAGTTAAGGTAGACAAAAGAAGTACTTTTTGTATGTCAAACTTTTAAACTTCCCTCAAGCATTTGGACCTCATAAGCAAACAAAGCAAATCAGCTCCCTCTACCAATATCTACATGAATGGCTTTCCAACATGAACAACTTGCTAACGCTCCCAGTAACTAGCATCCATCCGTTTGTGCAAAAGCCTTTGAAGATTTGATCTGGTGGCCTCAGTCAAATGTTCATTTTCTTTTCTCTAGGTATGTTTATGGCTCTCAAAAAAATTTTACCTTTAAGAGACTCTCTCACTTAGGAAGCACATTCTTCTCTATACTATATAGATTAGGGTTTTTGTCTTCCTTTATGAATTTTTAAAAAATTCACAATGATTTTGAAAATCAAATTTTGAGCCAATGAAATAAAATTTAATTTATCTCATAAATTAAATCTATGATAGTATATCTTATTTGGATTTATCTTATAAATTCAAATTATGTAACTGATATGATATCCTTTTATATCATATTAGTTATTAAATTTAATTTATCATGTAAAACTAAATTTAAAACTAATATAATATAATATAATATAATATATCAGATATATACACACGCATAAATATATATTTCGAAAAATATACATATAATATTATATCTTGAATATTTCATATATAAATATTTATCAGATAAATATTCAAATACATACACACATAAATATATATATATATATATATATAATTCGTTCACCCTAGACAAAGCATTATATTCATTGAATCTAAACACATTTTAGATTTAATAAATCTATACATTATAACTTAAGTTAGACTATTTTTGTCCTATAGGCCCATGTGAAGTTGGTTGTAGGCCATAATGCTACTAACCCACAAGTCACAAGTAGACTTTAGCAAGGCATTACATCTACTGAGTTCATATAGAGATTAATGATCTTATGTAACCTATCATATAATCGTATCACATCCTTTTTGTTAAGTGATATTTCAATCAGGTGTGAAATATGGAATTGTCATTCTCCTTTACCTGGCTATTACTTTCTTGATCTCTGAGTAGACTGATTATAGTAATGAAAAAGCTTTTTTATTATAATATGACCATACATTTTCTCAGTGTTACTATCGAGGGGCCTAATAATATCTCTCAATTAATGTGAAGGATAAATTTCATCTTAACCACTCATATTCCTCTGTATAAATATTAATAAACTCAATTATAACCTTTATAATCACCTGATGAAATCTGACTTTTGATTAAGTCAAAGTTTAGTTGTCATTATGTAGAAATCCATGATGATCTCAAGTTAAAGGGCTTAGTAACACAGTTACATATGACATAAGCTTATGACTTTAATTTATATCTCTATAATCAATCAAAGTCACACTAGTCTTATTTCATCTATGATCCTTCACAGATGATTGACCAGAGACATTTAGGACAATCACTATAGTTTATCCAAGAGTATAGTTATCATAGTGAATGTACAATTAATATGATAACAAGAGAAATTCATTAAATAGCGATGTTCATAGTACAATAATTGGCCTTAGGGAATAATTTCTAACAATCCATAAATAAATATTGTGTCTCAATAAAACTTATTAAAAGAACCCAAATAGATAAAGAAAACTTTGGAAAGAAAAAAGAATACACAATATGTTTAATTTTAGAGTTGATAGTCGATAATTTATGTGGGTCAAACTTAAAATACTTGAACATATAAAAAATTATATGGCCAAACCCAACCATAACCCTTTGGGCTTTCAAATTTATTCGAGCTAGTTTGAATACCTAAATTATTAAATTTATTTTATTTTTATTTTTATATAATTTCAATTTTTTATTCAAAAAAATATTTTCAACTTTTATTGTATTTTAATATTATTTTGTCAATAAAAAAAAGAAACTCA